TATATATATATATATATATATATATATATATATATTTATATATATATACAAAACCCTTCTACAATCCTGGCAAAAACTAATGAAACATCCAATATAATTAACAATTTAATCTGTTCTTTCCCCCTTACAGTGTTGATTAAGATTTTTGTCTATTTTATTAATTTTTTATAGGTGTTTCACCAACTTTTTGCCAAGATTGTAGTCGAAATGCCCAAATTGCAAAATCTTGATATTGACTCAATATGCAACATCTGAAGAATTGTGGAAATCAAACACAACTCACCTTCTTGACTAGAATTATTATAAGTTTTCCAACAAATACTGAAGCATATTCGGAAATATTAGGATGAAGTAAATGTGATATGACTTGAACTACGTAAGCAATACCACTATTAGATGAACTGTCGTGCCTGAAACAGACATTATATTATCATGTTGTTTTTAATATGATAAATATATTGAAAATACATAATTAATTCATTGTTAATGTTATTTGTGTTCGCATTCAGTAATGATTTTGAAAAATGCAAAGGGGCACAAAATTACCACGCATAAGGAAACTTCTATATAGGTTTTACAGAGTAATATGACTTTACCAATTAACAAGCTGATCTGAACCTTTAGAGACGAAGGCACGAATGCATTCTCCACCACTCTAAATACAACAATAGGCAATGGTTGAGATGTACAGTATGTACGTATATGCAACAAGCAGATACAACAACAGACGTAATCCTAAATGACGTCACAAGGCGTGATGCGCGCTTGGAATTCTGGTCTTAGTAGCAAGAAGTGGATAATTTTAATTGACTGCAAAGATTTCTCTCCAATAACAGACCATAGAGTGTGTAAAACCAAACCACCTGCAATATTTGAATGTTCCAAAGCGTACACCAATAAGAGCACAGAATATTAACTCCTTTATATATAACAGAATACAGTTCGGGTTTCTTTTTATTGTTGGTAAAACAACCAGGAACACAACACGTAATAAAACTGGTCGTACTGGTCGATGAAAGTGGACTGTTGCCGTTACTTTTAGGGCTGTCAAACCTCTTAAGACCGTTGCAAGAGTTCTGAAAAGAAATAGGGTCTTCATTGGCTAAAACAGCCTCTAAAAGACGACAAAGAACAGCAGCACACTCGCATTCGTGACTACTAAGACCAGACGTCCACACGCCTTGTGACGTCATTATGCATAAGGACTATTGAGCGATGTACAACTGAACTGTACTGCACTGTAGTGAAATGTACTGTACTGTACTGTACTGTACTGTACTGTACTGTACTGTACTGTACTGTACTGTACTACACTGCATTGTTCTGAACAAGACATTACTGTATTGCATTATACTGTACTGTACTGTATTAGACATTACTGCATTGTACTGAATTAGACTTTACTGCATTGTACTGTACTTTCCACACGGTACCTGTAGTATAGCGTTGTCGTCTGAACCCAAAATAAAAGCGACCAAAGGCGGAAATACATTATTAATAAGAGCATCTGACAACACCTGAGGGCTACCGCGAATCATATGACATAGAATGTCCAACGCAACCTGGTAAAACAAACCCAGAATAAATATATAGTCAATTGGTGATAATGATGAAGCAATGGCGTAGAACTAATATGCTAACAAGGGAAGCTCTAAACAAGGGGGGCTTGCTGGAGGGATGTTCCAACATTGATTTCTGGTTCTAGCACTTCTTCAATTAATTTTTAAATCAAGAAAGGACTTAACTTGAAATGATTCCAAAATAGGACGCTATGTTGCAGCCGCATAAATGATCTAATGGTGGGACCATAGTAATCAGTTACAGATTACTGAAAGCATTACCGTATCGTTTGAACTAGTTACACTTGCAAATAATTTTCCAGGTTATGATTATGCAATCTGAAAAATGTTGGGAGCTTTGCCCCTCAAATCGACATAAAACTCAGCCCCGCCAAGCCTCCCCCATGACACAGATGAGGTATAATATCTCTCCTTTGTGCCCATGAGCTCAATCTTCTACATCGCTGTGATGAAATAAAGGTTATGCGAGGATTATACTGTGTTACTTACTGCTCTTATACCGGAAGGAACTTTCTCTTGTGGGACTTCCAGTAAACTGACCAATGTTGGTAGAAATCTTTGTTGAAGAACCTGCGAGAGAAGAGTAAAACACACTGAAAACGTATCCTAGATAACGATACTAAATCATTGACGGTGATATGTATAAAGCCAACTAAAAAAAGGCTGTCCTTGTATATACTGTAGTGCAGGGCTTGGAATAGGAAAAACATATGGCCTGTTAGACTATTTTTGTTGTTGTTGTTGTTGTTGTTGTTGTTGTTGTTGTTGTTGTTGTTGTTGTTGTTGTTGTTGTTGTTGTTGTTGGTCAAATAAATTATGGTCTGCCATTTCTATTTTTGAACTGCCAAAACGGTCTCACTTAGGTATGAACATAAAGATTAAATGTTAATTTTCTTCATGCATATCAATAATTTATGTATTTGCCCCCATATTGTAACTGTCTTACAGTATTTAACTATTAGGGAGTTTAAGATTGACGTTACGGCAAACCGCTAAAAGAAAATGGCAACCTGCAAATCGATTGTGTCTTTGTGTTTGTAGAATTCCGCCTGCCATTTTATTTTTGGCTTGACATGTAAAATTTGTTTTCGCCT